TATAATTATTATTAGAAATTATATTATTTATATTATTTAATTTAATTAGATAAAATATATTAAAAAGTTTCTTATTAAATATAATATATAAAAATTTAAAGATATATCTATTTTTATAAATATTAAAAGATATTAGATATTTAAAAAGAACTTTTAAATCTTTAAAATCTCTTATATCGAGTATTAATTAATAATAAGATTATTAATATATATAATATTCGATATAAAATTAGATATTATATTTATAATCTTAATAATATTTTAATATAGCTTAAACTTTAACGAAGCTTATTAGAAAGCGATTAAGTAAATCTTTCGTTATTTTAAATAAATTATCGATTATTAACTTATCTTTAAAAAAGATTTAAAATCTTTAAATAATTATATTAATATTAATTAAATTAATAATTAAAATATCTATTATTTTATATCTAGATATATATTTAATATTAATAATAAAATTATTAATTAATTATTAAAACGATAATTTATTATAATACTCTTAATTTATAAAACTAAATATATTAATTAAATATAAATTATTAAAAAAGTAATTTAATTACGCGATTTATTAAATTAGCTTAATTTTAATAATAAATAAATATAAGTAATAATTATTTTTTATAATAATTAAGGCGCTATAGTATTAATTAAAAATCTTTAATTCTATATTTATACTAAATATATTAATATTTAATATTATTATATACGAAAATAAGTTATTACTAAGAATATCGCTTTAGATTATATCTTTATCGATTAATAGATAGTTAATAATCTTATTAAGACCCTCTATAAAAATAAGTTTAAAATTTTTTATCGATTTATTAAATTAAAATATTATCTATAATTATAGCTTAATAGTCTTAATATAGAGAAGTTATCTACTTTAAAGAAGCTATTTTATTAATTCTTATATTATAAATAATCTATTTACGCTACTCGTCGAGTCGTTATATTAAATTTAATACTCTATAAACTCGCTATTTTATATTAAAATAGCTATTTCTTTAGCGCTATTATTACTATTATTACTAAAACTTCTAAAACTCTTTTAGAGAATCTATATCTATTCGTTATTAATATCTTAAATATTATATCTCTAAATTATCGCTATTATAGCTATTATTATTAAGAACTAATTATTTAAAATAACCTTTATAGGAGTCTTATAGTCGGCGATATATAGCTAGAAGAATTTCTTTTAATTATTTTATTTAATTACCCCTATAAATATCCTTTAATCTCGAATTAATTAATTTTTAATATATATTAAATAATCTAGAAATAAAATTTTTAAAAAATCGTTTTTTTAATAAAAAGTAAAATTTAAATCGAATTTTAATAGGGGCTATAGTTTAATATAGTCGTTTTTAGATTTCGACTTTTTACTTTACTTATCTTATTTTAAACGTCGCGAACTTTAAATCTCGTATTTTTTAATTTGATTCGTAAGAGGGGGGTAGAGATATAAGGAGTAAGGGGGGTATGTTTTTACGCTAGCTACCCGGCATTAACTTACCTTATTTATTCAATTTTAATATCGTTAGCGTTAAACTTCGTATCTATCAAATTTCGCTTATAAAAGAATATATATAAAGGGGAGTATTGAAATTCGGATTACGTGACTCTTAGTGTCTTGGCGGTTATATGACTACGTTACGTGACACGCCTTAGTGCGCTCGTATTAAGTCGCTCTTTTCTTTTATAGAACTCCATAGTTAATACAACTAAGTATTCTATCTTTATATTTTAATAGTATCGCTTAAATTACTCTAAAGGAGGCTATTAATTAATTATAGATCTAATTATAAGCCTTATTAAGACTTATAAAGCTATCGAGATAAATCTTATAAGTATATTTTCGCTTAGAGTTTCGAGTAATTCTAACTCTATCTTCTTTAAATATATCTATAAAGATATCTATAAAGATATCTATAAAGATATTTACGACGATATCTATAACGAAGATATCTATAAAAATACTTCTTTAATAAGAATTTATATAATAATAATAAATTCTCTAATAACTTTAGTTAGAGTAATTACTACTTCGATAAATATTTTCTATCTTATTCTTTTTAAGACTTTCTTTTTTAAAATTAATATTAAAGAAGCGATTAGTAGCTCGCGTATAGTCTTTTATAACGTATTTATATAGCGCTTATTTCTATTCTTAAATAGATTTTAATTATTAATCTTTTTTTTTAGCGAGATTAAGCTTAAATAGAGTAAATTTAAAAGAGATATTATTAATCTAAATTATATTTAAATAAATTTAAATTTTATTATTTAATATTAATATATAATAAAATCGATTAACTTTATAATTAATTAAGTGTTTTTTATAGATATAATTTTTATATTTAATTTAATTAATATTTAATAGATATATTTAATAGAAATTACCTTATAGGGGCCGGTAGTACGAAAGACGATATATCTATAGATAGTGTATATAGCGTAGATGACTGGTTTTTGATATCGATCGTCCCCACTATCCAGTCACAACAGGCAAATCCTCGGCTAGTTGACACACTGTTTTGTGTGACATATGTTCTCACGGTCAGAGAGTCGAATTGGCTGTTTTCATAAACCTTCTGTTGAGATAAATAACTCGTCTCGAACAACTCTCCGTTTGATTTGACTCTATAATTTATATAACCCTATGTCCAAATGATAGTTATCGACTTGTCGCATGCCATCAAAAATCTATTACTCTGAAGATCTGTTGGAGATCTGTCGGAGATCTGTCGGAGATCTGTTAGAGATCTTTCAGTTCTATCCCCGCAGGTATCGAATTATTTCAACTAAGTGCCACTTTTATTTCACATAATGAACCAGATCTAGGTAGTCGATGCTAATTCATGTATGCATCTCACATATTGATAATTGCTATTGTTTATAAAATACATTGTGCAGGTGGAAGCAGTTACCTACCCTCTCCGCATCCCCTCTGGTCTTATCCATCCCATCCCCCCATACGCCTTACAAAATTTACCTAATCTCCAGCTATCGTAAGTCAATTAGCAATCTTTCATTAGCAGGATGCTTGTAGAGCGATGCACTAGGGTTGAGAAGCGATACATACCTAATAACATTTGTATACTTCTTGTGTCCACTAGATTAAGTAGTTAGCGATGCCAAAGCATATACAATAGGAGCGTAGATAAATTGCGTACCTTGACTATACCACATCATCTACGTTAGATAGAATTTTGTCTATAATCCAGTCGCGTCATGGTTAGCACACCTCTTCTATTTGTGGCATCAACTTACCACATGTTGGGAGGCTCTTCAAGCTTTGAATGAAGGCGCGCTGAGGATGAAGGGACGAAAAGGGATACATGATAGGAATGTGGCACTGTTGGATAGGCGACATGCTGCTGGAGAGGGAGCTGATCTAGGGGATGGATAGTTTGATGTCTCCGCCTCGTCCGTCAGCTTGATTCTCGCTAATAATGCGAAAGAATATACCTACTTTCAAGTGGGTAGAAAAGAGAAGAAAAGCTGACCTATTCATAATGCGAGATCAGCCATTCAGGTTATCATGTCGCATGGGCATTTTCAGCATACCTGTAAACCAGGCTCACAAGTTGCCTAATGTCGTATGGGCATTTCCAGCGTACCTGTAAACCAGGCTCACAAGTTGCCTAATCCATAGAATTGTAAAAGTTGCCTGCGTCCCCTGCATCCCCGTTGTAATCGACCCATCGCTATCATGTAATCTAGGACAGGGGGCACTCACACACAAGTCTATTGACGCATCGATGCTTGCCGCTGTAGGCATGGGTTGTAATGGCTGGTTATCCCTAGTTACCGCCAATCGGGGAGAAATGTCAATCCAGGTATGATGATGAACGATGTAAAAGCTAAAAGCGCAAGGACGCCATGTAGCCGTTAGCAAAATGTGAAAACACTGCCACATAAAAGAGCGCTGCTGGCGAATGCGGAGAGAGCATGAGAGAGCGGGGATGGAAGAGATGCCTTGGGGATGACTTGGGAATAACTTGCCATGCGTTGGGGATGCCTCGCAGCTGCTTATTGCATTCACCTGTACAGCCAGATTGCGAATTGGCTGCACCTGGTCACTGCTGTCGCAATGTTAGGGAACCTGGAGAAGAGGCAGCTCATCCCCCTAATGTCTCCTGTTTTAATCCACGTCAGGACCGTTACATGGCTGTAGTATTCTGTGATCTACCACCTTCTGACCAGATAGTTTGCTTATTCTCAACCCTATCTGATGACATACTGTACTCCCCGTAGGTTTCCAGATGATATCCTTATGTCTGAAGATGATTAGGCTGAGGATGTCCCTGTTGGAGTGTTAGTGTTCTATTTTAGGGAAGCTCTCTTCAAAATAGACTGCGTAGACTTATAGTTCCTGCGCTCTGACTACCTTGAATAAGCTCTTCGCTGCTATTCTTTAGATGATTGTTAGAGGTAAAATTAGTGGTGGGATAGAGGCTGATGGATGGACTTTGTAGGCAGGGTGGAGAGCCGATGGTCTGATGCTGTAACTCTGTGGAAATAATAGCTGTATTCTGAAGATGCCTGTGTGTATATATATCTAGAGAGATAATGAGTCTAGTTTGTTAATTATGTAGAGACGTTGATGCTGTAGTAGCTAGCTTTTTGAAAAAAGAAATATCTTAGGAAGTCGCATTGCGCTCTCCGCACATCTGGTGGAAAACCACTTAAAGTTGGCTCTATCCCCATGAGTCTAATATTTTAAGCCTGCTTCTCCGCTAGATCAGCCAGTTCATAGCAGACAAAGTGTAAATATGAGATAGAAACATAGAAATTCAATGAAGGGCTTATTTATCTGTATTACTTAACTTGTAAGATACCCAGAAAACCCAGCAACTCCCATCTCCTCACCACCCCCATCTCCGAGATACCCTGCTTAAAATAAAGCATCGCCTACGTTAACAGCTAATCAAAACATCTAAGAACAAAGCATTCAACCCGCATATCAGTCTAAAAGCAGGTTTATTAGCTTACATGAATTGAATATCGTAGTTGCAGTTCAATAAAAGGGCCTGACCGCCTCTCTCCAAGCCCCCTTTGGTCCCATCATTACGCTCTTTGCGACTTACATGCAGAACATAATGCTTCCTTGTGCCGATACCTGGAAGCCCAACGATCTGCACTGTCTTCGATAGTTTCTGATAAGGAACTTTGAGGACAGGGTCGAGCTTTGGTTCTCTGAAGTCCTGCACCATAGTCACTCTGGCAAACAGTCTGATGCGTCCCTTGGAGAGCTCATGCAAGAAGACACCATCAACTCGAGCTAAGTCGGAGTTTCGAACAGTAATGAAATCTCCGATACTGAACACAATCCGATGCTCAGACACCCTGTCGTAATCTGTCAGTAACTGTCCATTCTATATAGCGGTTCTTACAGCCATCATCAAACCTGTATACGCAGATGAACGGCAGAGACATAAAAGCTATCAAAGGGAGGAGAGTCAGATATCTTACCGATCCGTAAAGCTAAGCTTTTGGCACCATTGCAACCCAACGCGTCTAGGCGGAATGACATTGGGCTCTCCGTAGTCTATCTCGTAGGCATGTTGTAACAGTATTGAGAATGGATCATCGAGAGCAAGCTGACCAGGCCATAAAGGCCATCCCAAATCCTTCGCAACATATCCACGATCTAGGCATCCCAGCGCCAGCGGCCTTTCATGAGCTGCATCTCCAGTGATTGCCATCTGAGATTGACGTGAGTCATTCTCTCCAGTGCCTAGCTCAGAGTAGGGCAGCAAGTCAGTCAGGAGAGTAGGGCACTTTGAATGTATTCTCATCATCTCCGCAGTCAATCTAGGCTCAGTAGATGCATGTGAACCGGCGAGAACAAAGCGTAGAGTTTGATGTAAGCTCTCTTTGCTGAGTAGAACCTTTTCTACATCTCGAAAGTTGGTTTGAGTCACTGCTTTCTTGAAGAATCTTTTCCACTGGGTTAGCGCAGAGGCGGCAAATGAGGCGAATTCTATACACATACCTGTGTTTGTCCTCACCGCTAAGAGTGGTGCAATTGTTAGGAGTGGCGTACTCCGTAGCTACGTCCTCGTAGTGTAGAGCAGCGTGTACATTTGGGCGTGCCATGACGTTGCGAAATGCTGCTGCTTGCTTTGCAGCACCGCCCTCAATCTCGAAAGTCTCCGCCAAATGTTCATACTCTGAACGACCCAAGTGCTGTAACTCGCTATCCTCAAACGTGCTTCCTGCTTCGGAATCATCGTCTGAGAGATTGACTGGTGTTGTTTGCCTGGAGGAGATAAGATGATTACCGCGCTTGAAGTTCTTGGAGCAGGCGAGAGCAGCGCATTGATAGAGTCTCTGAAACGCCTTTCTTGATTGTAACAGCAGCGACATCATATTCTGTCGATCCATTTGGCTCATGTTCTGCGTTAGGACCACGGTGTTGCTTTTGGCCATAGCAGCGTAGCACGCAACGATCGAATCAACGCCATTGAGATTCAACGCCGGAGACATTGTTGCTTCTGCGGCTTTTAGATACACAGGATTAATCCACTTAGGTTGTAGCCAGGTCCGTAGAAGTAGAGGCGTAATGATTGAGAGTCTACCGCATTCTTGCATCCGATAACTAGCGAGATGGTACTTAGGTGACTGCAATCGGCCCCAGCTAGGTGGGAAGGGAAAGTGCCGGAGCTCGGCGCAGTAGGCATTGGCACCAGCGTCAGTGAGTATGGCAGCGAATAGCACATGTTGCGCTTGTTTGGCAATCCCAGCGTATTCCGAATGTGCCACATCCCCAGGCCGGCTGCGTATGATATCCAGAGATGGCGCGATAATGATCAGCGGAGTCTGCTCAGCTCTCATCCCCATGCTTTGAAAGAATTTAGCACTATCCACAGACGCGTCGCCTTTGATTCGCTCATATAGGACCCGATGATGATAGCGAGCATTGAGTATAATGTTGAAAGTCAAGTCCGCTTTTTGCTTCTTTGTAACCAGGCATTTCGAGCATCCCCTATTAGCAATCGGAGACATGAAGCCAGAATTCTCCTGCTGCTGTTTCATGTCTCCTGTGAAGGCCATAGTGTAGACGCATACAAACGTATCCACGCCATTGAGGTTGATTCTGATGCCACGATCCAAAGCTGCCAACCCAGGCTCTAGAATCTTGATCACATCTCCGAAGTCGCTGGCATGTGGACCAAGTGCTAAGGGTAGTACATTGGCTCTCCGTTTCCTCTCCCGCCAACTCAGGCCAGCGATTGTGACATAGACCCCCATCAGAGATCGGTACATATTCCGGTACAAACCAAACGCATCAATGAAGGTAAGAAGAGGAATTGAAAGGCACGGAGATGTGGCAAAGCTAGCTAGATGTGCACGCCCGTATGTGCTCAGCTCCAATGCTCCACGAATAGGTGCGGAGAGCTGTAGTGGACGAGTGCTTTTGTTGTTAAGCTCGAAGATTTGACGCACTACAAATCTTGATCGGTACGCCGATGCATTCCTGCTCAGTCTGACATCTGACCCCTCGTAGCGATAATCAAAATGCACATCGGCTTCTCTGGCATGGACTTGTTCTCGGCTCAAATGAAGAGATTCCTGTTCTGAGAGAAACAGTTCTTTAGCTGTTGAGTGCGCCGGCATCGGAAAATCTGATTCTTTCAGTCCAAAAGCGCTCGCAACATAGAGCGGATTTGCGAGAATTCTGACTTGATCAATTGTTTCCCCAGTGGTCGTTTTGTCTCTACCAATCGCAGCGATACGAGCCATGTGATATTTACGCCCATTTTGGCAGAAACAGTCCTCTTTCTTGCAATGATAGTAGACGACATCAGAGGGGAAGATCGGAGTTTGATCGGGATAGAACACGTATTCTCCCGAGCAAGACTTGATAGAAGAAGCCCATGCCAAAGAGTGATAGAGCTCAGAGGGTTGATCAACAAAACATGCCATCCCCGTATGAATCTTGGCGCGAAATTCAGTCGACGAAAGCACAGTCTTGAACAGCTCAATGGGATCGAAGAAATGCATCATACTCTTTACGACCCGGACTTCCTTCTGCTTGCTTTGTGTCGGGAGCTGCTCCTGTACTACGTCTATCTCCTGACGTCGTAGCCGCATTAGTGGTAGCTGCGCATTAACGTATTTCTTGAGGGTTGTGACAGAGCGGGGAAGATCTTTGAGCGTCTGCAAATCCTCGAGGAGATCAAATACCTCTAGCAAACTCTGGTAGTTTTGTCGAGTGATGCCAGATGTCTCACACCACAAGCCTAATGCCATTGGAAACGTCTTCATCTCCCAGCTAGCTCGCTTGTGTGGCACTTCTTCCGATAGATCTACCACCGAAGAACGACGTGAAGGTGGCAGCATACTTTCGTCAGGAGATATAGCAAGCTCGTCCTCAGCTAGCTCATCGAAGTCATCTGAAAATTCTTGCTGAGGAGGTTCGGGAGGTAAGGGGAGACTAGGTAGCGTGCTGGCAGAGATCTCTGAGGACGGAGAGTCAAGATCGTTGGCCAGAGCTTCGTGTATGGGATCTTCCGCTTCCGCATTCTCTATACATTCAAGCAGATTATTGGTGACAGAGATAGCGTTCTTAAAAGTCAGTAAAAGCGTGCGCATTAACACTGGAGAACTCACATTGAAGCTGCTATCAGCAACAGTCTCAAGCAGTGCAGGCATCTCATCTTGCGGCACAATCTTTACAGACTCCACAGACTCCACAGACTCATCAGACTCCACAGACTCATCAAACCTATCAAACATGCCACCATCATATTCCTGCCCTTCGCCCTCGTTCTCCCGCTCAGGATCATTTAGTCGTTGTCGCTTGACAGCGTCGGATCTAAACCTTGGGGCAGAACGACGTAACTGGAGTCGTAGATCCTTGCTTGATGTCGTAGGCCGGGTTTGTGCCCTCTGGAAACTCATGCTTGTACGCATGGTAGCAACAAATCCTTAAGATGAAGAATCGTAATTGTAGAAGCGAAGCCCGAGCAAGTAGCACTATTGGAATCACTGGAAAAGCTGTATAGGATATCGAGAAGGCTTGAGATAGCGGAGAAGACTGGGGGAGATGGGGCGAGACAGAAGATTTCGGAGATGCCTTGGGGAATGTTGGGAAAAGCCTGCAGGCAGCTGGGCTGTGAATCAGGATGCTGGATGCATGCTATGGATAGACACTGTCGCAATGCTGTCAGCCTATGCCTGATGTTATTGCGGCATTAGGGGAAGCAGAGAAAGCGCAGCTCCATACCCCAGTCTCCAGAATCCAGAGACACTCATATTCCGTTTCATGACTGTAGGAACCTGTGGTATCTGACCATTCCTACAGCTATCCTACTCATTATTGACCTCTCATGATTGTATTCTGTGTACCTGGTGTCTCTCCTGATGGTAGGTCTAGAATAATAGATGGTGGGGATGATTAGGTTCTTGTGATTCTGTCTGGGAGATAGGCTTTTGAAGCCTGCGTATAGTAGTCATACGTAGGCTGCTAGTATGGGCGCTCCTCTGCTCTTTGAATGTGTTAGATCTTGCTCTCTTTAGATGTGTGCTGGATGACAGAAGGTAGCGTTCTTGGTGGAGAGCTGATGGGATGTTAGAGAGCTGATGGGATGTGGTTGATGACTTGTATGGGAGCGTTAGATAGCGCTAGAATGGGAGAATAATCTAGACGCTGTATAATGGTAGCATTGGTGATATAACTGCGATAGGTAGGAAGATGTTGGCGCTGTCAGATATGAGAAAAAGCTGATTATGCGTTTGCGTTCGGACCTGCCAAGGCAAAAGTAAGTGGGGAATATTCGAGTTTCCCCGCCTCTCTAACTTCTCAACTCATCATCTCCGTTCTTTAGGCAGAGCTCACGTCACTCGTTTGTGCATTCAAAATCCAGTATATAAGATCTTTCACTGTCTCTATCTCAATATGCCTGTGGCTTCAAGCACATCAGCAAGGAATACAGCAAGAAAGAACCTCACCCAACCTCAATCCCAGTCAAATCTCGCCTCCTCCAAATCAACCCCTAACAAGAGGCGCCAGGAGGATACGCCTAAGACCAATGCGAAGAAGCAGAGAACCCAGGCTCTAGATCAGGAGGATAGACGTTCAGTTTCGCAAAGGAATCATCGTGTATCTCCGTCACCTCGCCAGCAGGAGATAGATTCTGAGGACGAGAATGACGATAATGGCTTTGAGCGTACGCTCCGGAATTCCACTGTGAGCTGCTCGATTCAATTGCGTCGTTGATGAAGACTAATCCTAGATATCTAGAGTCGTAGCACACTGTCAAACGAAGGAGGGGACGATGAGCTTGATGAGTTTGAGGCAGAGGCCGCTCTGCTGAAAGGCAGCTCTACTACCCAACCTCCAGCATCTGTCTCCAAGCCTGGGAAAGCGAGTGCCCCCAACGGTCCTTCTGAAAAAGCATTGGACAGAGCCAGCAGCATCTCCGCTGATACACGTACAACTTTCGATGAGCTTGGGATTCGTTGTCGGCTCGTGTATCTAGCAAAATTCAGGATGGCTCCTCATGCTTCCATCATCAGGGCTGTGTGGGGAGATGGCATTACGAGACAGAGCTGGGAATGGGAGGAGAGTAATAACAGGATCAACTGGAATGGAAGCAATTGGAAGATCCGCTCCATTCAGAACATGCAGGTATGATTCTCAGCTCTGTACTTACTGTGATGCCTATGCTAATGACTCGTAGGTCAAGATCCGAGATTACATCAAGAATGACAAGAGTCACGCTCTCGAAAGCATCTCCGAGTATACGCCGCTTGCCAAATTCTTCGCCTCCAAGTATTCTCCCAGTGCATTCAGTTGGGTCTTCGACTTTACGAATGGATGTATTGATGTCACGGAGTCTGATACGAAGCCAGCACTTCATTTCTACTTCAAGAGTAAGTTCTTTTATTCTGTTCTCTGCTTCTCCGCTGCACGTCTGTTTCTAATGTATCTCAAGACATATGGGTCAACTTCGCCACAAGAGTTAAGCTCTATACGGACTGGGCAGCAGACCCACAAGCCTTGCACAACTCTGAGCATAGTCGAAACTCCCTTTTGACGTGGGTCCCCGTCATGGCGAAGTCTGAGAAGTATCATGTCGACATCAAAGACTTTGTGCGCATTGAATCGAAGGAGCGCCGTCCTAGACACGGATCTGCTGGCCCTGTCGAACCGGATAGGGATGCTAATTATCTGTTCCTGGGGACTCCGCCTCCGGAATGAACGTGCCTGCTTGCGCTGTGAGCTCTGTCTCAGTCTGAGAAGTGTGCGATCTCTGTTTCCCCCATCTTCTGTATGACTCTATCTGCTTTCTTGCTATGATTCTGCGAGAGCATTATACCCTGTTGCATGTTGCTATTCTACTGGGTTGGGAGGATGCTAGATTTTTGGCGGAGATGCAGTATCACGGGATCTATGATATGTGGCATTTGCTTTGCGAGGCAGGCATTTCTTGGGATGTGTATCTAGGTATATCTTGGGCGGGGTTTAGTTTTACGATACCCACTTAGCAAAGCAAGCTTACAATGTATATAGAATCAAGATATCAAGATATCAATCCGGAGAAAGAGCTACTTTCGGAGAGTGTTTTTACGGATCGATTGATTCTCTTCTGTTATCTGATATTATGTCGCAGGATTATGTTTATTGCGGGCTAATTGACATGGTGAGATATATAATTATCAGATCTTCTCAGGGTGAGACTGCCGGATATATCCTAGCTGCCACGGGATTACAGAGAGCACTCGTTTGATATCGCGCCAACCGATGCGGCATGTTTAAGCAGCGAGAACGTCCTTTGCAGCAGTGATGCATCCTACCTCGCTGCCGTTACTGCAGGATTATATCTAATATCTATCAATCTTATCTATCAATCTTACCTATCATACTTGCTCGAGTCTCATCTTCAAGCTCTAATATTCTCTATGCGTTTCTACAGATGTTGGATTTCTTTTTCCTACATAAAAAGATGTGGCACAGATATCAGAGGAGTATATGCTATTGTGCGTTTCAACTCTATACTGAGAGTGCCATCCGTATCTCCACCTACTCTGCCTGCCATCCGTATCTCCACCTGCTCTGCCTCCATGGAATGAATGCTGTGGCTTCAGGTAGGAGAAAAAATAAGTATAAAGTTTTATAATTTCTTAATTATAATTTATTAGTTATTTAATAATTAATTATTAGATTTAATATTAAAGTTAATAAAGTACTTTTTAAAGCTATTTATAATTATAAATAATTTAATATAATATTTATAGATAATATAATTTATCGAAGTCTTTAATATATATAATTATACTCTATATAGATTAAAGCTATAGTACTCTCTATATATAATATCTTATTATATTCTTCTATAAAGTCTTAAATTAATATTAAAATATATAGTATTATATTAAGAAATAAATATATATTAATTAAAGTTATAAATAAAGTAATAGATAATAAAGTTATAGATAATAAAGTTATAAATAGTAAAGTTATAAATAGTAGAGCTATAGATAATAAAGCTATATATAAATTATTAAAGCCTTTAATATATTATTATTAATCGCTATTATTATCTTCTTTATTATTAAAAATTATTTTATTATTCTTTTTATTATCGTCGATATCTAATATCTAATTCTTATTTATATTAATATTAGATTCTTCTATAATTATATTTAAGTTTTAATTAATATTAATCTTTAAGCGTTTCTTATATTATACGCTATAAGATATTATATATTTAAAATAAAAATTAAGTAATTAATATTTAAATTTACTCTTTTAATAAAGAGCGTTAAATAGATTTAAAAAATATTTATATATATACTTTATTAATAATAAATTAATTAAATTTTTAAAATATAGCTTCGTTAAATAAGAATATATAATAAGCTATAAAAAGATATCTAGATAGTAAAATAATTAGTTATTATATTTATAATAAACTTTAATAGATCTATAAATAGATATAATAGAAAACTTATATTTAAGAAATCTTAGTCTATCTTCGATAATCGCCTCGAAATCTACTACTTTAATTTTAAATCTAAATATACTCTTTAATTATTTAGAATTATACTTCTTATAAATCTTCGTCTTAATATTTATAAATATTGATAATTTTAAGTATAGCGCTTAACGCTTTAGATCTATAGTACTCTTAATTTATCGCTATATTTACTATAGCGCTTATTTAAAAATCTTATTTTTTTATATCTTATATAAATATTAAATATAATATTTAATCTTTTTATATACTTAATAATTACTTTTTATATTTAAAAAGATAATTTAAATAAATTTATTTATATAAGTATTTAATAGAAAGATAAGAAAATAGCGTTTAGTTAATAGATTTAATTAAAAAAAAATCTTTATTTTAAACTTTAATAAGTATATAAAATCTTTAATTCTTCTTTTTATAGTGCTGAATTAATTTATAATAATATTATATTTATTTATCTAACTCTATAAATTACTTTTAGATATTAATATTATTATCGAATTACTTTAACTTCTCTCCTCTCTATTAAGAGTCTTATTATCTTTTATACTTATAATATATTATATATTTTTTATTAAAATCTTTAAAATTATATTAATAAATTTAATAATAGAAGACTTAATAATAACTATAGTAGGCTTTATATATAAAAATTTAAAAGTCTTTAATATAAACTACGTAATAGTTATAAAAAGCTTTATATATAAAATCTTTAAAGCTTTCGATATAGACTATATAGTAGTTATAAAAGACTTTATACGTAAAATCTTTAAAGTTTTTAATATAAACTATATAATAGCTATAAAAGACTTTATATATAAATATTTAAAAGTCTATAATATAATCTAGATATTAAATTTCTTAATCTAAAAAAATTATTAATTTAGAGCTATAAAAGTATTAGATAATATATTATTTTAATAGAATTACTATATAAAAATATATTATTAATCTCTTCTATATTTAATTCGTTAAGAGATTATTTATATTAATATTTATTATATTAAAATATTATTCTTACTAATTTATTTCTAAACTCGCTATTTTAAATAAGAGATCTCTTAAATATAATATTATATATTCTAGATCTAGACTTAGACTATTAAAAGAATTTAATATAATTATTTAAAGAGCTTAATATCTATAATAAACGCTAGATAATTAATTTACCTATTATTATAAAAGTAATTAATAAAATATTTTTATAATTATAATAATTAAAGAAGAGAGGAACTTAGATAAATTATATATTATAATATAAAAGATATTATAAAAGAAGTATATCTCTAGATTAAATTAAATCGCGATAGACTTTAATATTAAAACTTATCTAATCTCTTTATCTCTCTTATAAAATATCTAAATATATTTTTATATCTTTTTTTAATTTTTGTAGTTTTAATTATAATTTAAGAAAAATAAGTAAATTAATAAATAATAATATATTTAAAAATATAAATCTTACTATAGAAGATTACTATAAAGTAATCTATCGATTAAATTAAATATTATTATAAAATTATAAAAATATAATTATAAACCTCTCTCTATATATATAAAATAAGAGTTATTATTTATTTACGCGTTACTTAATTTCTATATCTATCTTAATTATAAATTTACTCTTTATAAAAAAAATATAAAATAAATTTTATTAGTTCTTAAAATCTTAATTTTATAAATTTTTAATTATCTTACTTTAATATTATTATTATAACTTATCTTATATAAGATTATAATCTAATTTAATTAAAGTCTTATATAAATAAATAAATACTTTATAAGTTAACTCGCTTATTCTATTATTCTATATCTAAAGCTTTCTATAATTATAATAATATTTTTATTAATCGAAATTTATAAGAAAGAGCTAGCTTTTTATAAATATAAAGATCTTTATATAAAATTAAGATTTATAAATATAAATAAAATAAAACGCTTTATTAAAAGTAATTAATTTAAATTATATTTCGAAATCTATATTTATATCTAAATATTATTATAATAAAAAATTATAAAATATATAAATATATCTTATAAATAAGGGTTATAATTTATTATAGTTAAGAAGTATATATTTATTAAAAAATAATTAAAATCTAATAAGTTTTTAACTCTATATTCTAATAAATCTAATTAAAATTAAATAAATTATTATATCTATATAATATATAATATTTATTATATTAATATTAAGAGTATCTTAGAATTATCCTTTAATAAAGAACTTTTATTAATATAAATTAATTTAAGAGTTTAATTATTTATTAAATATAAGAAGTATAATTAAGCTTTCTTTAAACGCCTCTTATTAGAAGATATATAAAACTCTTTTATAAAAAGTAAATTAAAGCGTTTAATAAGTATCTAGCTATTATAATCTTTAGCGAGTATTTATTTATATATAAACTTTTAATTAATTTATAATAAATTAATAATATATTATAATCTTCGAATCTATTAGATTATTTAATAGATATTTATTTAATAAATATTTTTAGAAAGTACTCTTTTATAGATATATTAACTTCGAGTAAGATAATATATTATCGTAGTCTTCTATAATCCCTTCTTAACTTACTTCTCTATCGCCTTTATTTTTTAAAAATAAATAATTTATCTAAATTAGATTTATTATTAATTTTTTATCGAGTACTATTTATAATTAAGAGATAATATAATTTAATAAGTAGATTAAAGTTATATAGTTAAATAATTAGAAGTTTAAATTTAATTATAATATTAATAAGAAGAATAAAGATAATATTAAGATTAAGATTTTAATAAATATTTAAATAATAGTAATTAAGAATAAAGTTAGAAAATTTAATATTAAAAAATGATTTTAAAAAGTATAGTTTATTAATAAGTTAATTTAAAAGAATAATAATATAAGAGCTTTTAAGAAAAGTCTTAAATTAATTAAATAAATTATTACTTATATTATAAATTATAATTAAAAAATTTAATTTAATAAAATTATATATAATTAGAAAATAAATATTATTTAATATTAATTATAAGATAATATAGTAGCGACGAAATTTAACGCGTAGTAGTTATACTTTAATAATAAAAACTATTAATAGAAAGATCTTAAAAACTTATATTATTTATTTTATATATCTTAATATAATAATAAAACTATCTTTTATATATCTAATATAAATTTATTTTAATAGCTTAAGTTTTAATAGTTAATAGCGATAAAGATAATTATTAAATT